CTCCGCTCCGCTCCGCTCCCATCGCCCGTCCCACCCCTCTTGGCATCGCCATGGGGAAAGTGTCCCCATCAATCCTGGGGGGATTTAGCGTCGCTCACACAGAATTCACTTCGTGCTGGCCAGAGCCGCTGTTGCGCTGGAGGCTCCTCAGGTTTGGTGCGGCCCTGTGATGGGCGCAGCGCGGCCCTGCGGCTGCCTTGGGCTGCTGCTGCTTCGTTAGAGGTTAAAACACTGATCTGAGCAGCAGCCTGGGTTCAGGAGGCAAGAGGAGTTAACCTTTCACACCTCCAGGAGAGCTACAGGACGAGAAAAATCCTGCCCATCTCCTGGTACCTACATCAGACAAGCCCACCATGATCTCCCCGCAACAAACTCACCTCTGATTTAGCCCAGTGCTCTGCTGAAACGTCTTCCCAGCTGACAAACCGGTGGCACCTTCACAACATCAGAGCTGCTCCTTCTCTCCCACTGCGTGTCACGTCTCACAGGCATCCAAAAACCAGACCAGCTACCCTCAGACCAGCTGCTAGCACAGTGTGAAGTGAGCTGGCCCAGACCCCTCTGTGCTGGGAGCTCACGGGCAGCCTGAGAGGCTGGAATGCAAGAAGGGATCCCCTGACACTGCCCCAGCAGACTGGCTTCAGGAAAAACAGAGAGAGCATGGCAAAAAAGCAGTAACCTCTGCTGAGTTGTTTAAAGTGGGAGCAAGTGTCTCTATTGAACAACAGACTGTTTTGTGGCTGGTAAATAATCTTCTAAAATGTCCCTTGGGGTGAGGGAAGTTGGATGAGAGAGCTTCTTTTTAACTATCCAGTGTGTGTTCTGAGTTAATTCCCAGGAAATCAAGCTCCATGGAGGCTAGAGATGGCAGCTGCGAGACCATGGCCTGTGATCATCTGCGGCCTGGGGGTGTGGCAGGGGGTCAGTGGAGTCTGTTCCCAGGAGAGCTGTGAGAGAGCCTGGCTGTGGGGGAACCTGGAATGTGGTCCTTCAGATGTCACTTCCCTCCCTTGCTTGAAAAACAGCCTCTTCCCCAAGACAACAGCATGAGACTTTACAGTGCTCCTGGAGATGCTGACGTCCTCCTGATGGAAAACTTCCCTCCCCCATCGCTCGCCTTCAGAAAAGCATCCAGGAGATTTGCTTGTTTGGTTGGTTGGTTGTTTGCATAAAAATAAGCTTCTCAAACTCATTAACCTAAATACCCCCAAATACTACACTGCTGATTTTGGGCAGGGGAATACCTGCTTTTGGGAGGTGTCTGTGTATTACCACCTCCAGAGGTGGTTTCTGCTGGGTTTCGGTGGAGCCTGTAGCTTGTTTCTGGGTTTGCTGTGACATTTGCCACCCATGAAAAAAAGAAACTTGATAAAGCTGTTTTCTGTATCCTCGTGGCTTCATAGTCACCATGTCTAAGTGATAGGGAGGAAGCAACTTCATTTAGCAGATCAGATTAATTAAAAACTTGTGTTAATTTTTAATAAACTGACCAGATTTTTTTTATGGGCCGAAGGTCATGGCTGACTTCTGTGGAGTCTTCCCATAGCTGCCCAAAAAAGGATGAGGAAAGCTTGGCAAGCAAATCTGTTGAAAGGCTGGTGTTAGTGCCTGTAGGTGGCATAAATGCAGCATGAAATTGCAATGCCACAACTCATCTGCAGCCTTTAGTCTGTTTGGCAGCTCAATGGATTTGCAGTAAAGCTGAAGCTGGATTTATTTATTTTTTAATTTACACTAGAGTGTTTACTAGAGAATAGATACAGATTTTTTTTCTATTTTAGAAGACATAAAGTGTATTCAACATCTATTTGGTTTTGCTTGTAAGTCAATAATGCTAGTTTTCTTTCTTCTTTTTTCTTGAAAAAGCTTTGAATGCCTGCAAAATAAGCCCTCCTTTATTCCACTCCACATCACAAACTTCAGTCACCAAGAGGGAATAATTTGTTTTTCTTACAACCCAAAGCAACCAAACCTCCAACCTGGGCCTGGGATGTTAATCAGTGTTCACTGGATGAGCTGCTGACCCACGCTGAAGTATCCCAAGGAAATCTACCAATGACTTCAGCTTAACAAGTTTGTCAAAAAGCAACATTTTCCTGAAGATCTGAATTGTTTAAATGCATATACCATTTTATTCCCCCCCTCCCACCCGTCTACCCCCCCTTAAGAAAAATAACAGAAAAATATTTAAATAACTTCCTCTGAAGTTTTCTGGGCTTTCTCCTTTCCATGTCCCAGTTTTTCCATCTCCTACACAATGTCAAATTCACTTTCCAGGAATGTTGAAAGGTTTTAATAATAGATAGGAAGTGTTATGGTTAATAATGCAGACCTAAGTTATGACATGAATTACAAAGATGCCATGAGGCAGTCCCAGAGCTTTCCAAGCAAGCTCCACTGTAAAATATGCCTGAAATTAATTTTTGTGCTCTGGGTGGAATATCTTGTGTTCATTGAGCACTGGCATGATGTTTATACTCAGGGCAAGTTCAGTCTAAGACTGAGCAGAGTTTAAACCAGCAGTTTAAGAAGAGCCAACAGCCAGAATAGGTCATGATCAGCATCAGGTCAGTTAGTGACAGATGTCTTAATTTTAGGCAACTGATTTAGGAGTGAGGGTGCCAGCTTGAAAGAAGTTCATTCTGTATACTGTCAGAGGTTAACTATGTCACCTTGGGGAAGTAATGTAGCTTTACTGTTTCTTGAGTTCTTCATATAAAAAAAAAAACAACCAACAAACAAAAGTAGCATTTTCCCTTCCTCTCAAGAGTGTTATGAGGATAACTACCTTAATTAGTAACCTAGTTAGAGGTGAGTGTAACAGGATGGAGTAGCTGGAACACAGCTCTTCATTTATCTCTGCTGGCCAGTCCTGGTCAGTGTCATGTCAACCAAATTGATTTTTGCAGAAGGTGATTAAACACAATTAAATGTCCCTATTAATACCAATGCTAAGATTAGCTTTATTGAACTGACATGAAAGTGGTGATAGATTCTGAGTTCCTTTTATTAAATAAGTGTTAATTGGATCCATGCAGAGCTGACAAAACAATTTTCTTTCCCACAAAACCACTGTTATCTATAAAGCTAAAAGATGAAATTAGAGTTCTTTTTTAAACTATAGAGCAGTCATCCCTTTTTTTTTTTTTTTTTTTAAGTGTTAATGATCCCTGTCTTTAGCTAACTTGCTAACATTCCTTTGGCAACTTCACCAATTTCTGCTGCTTAGCTTAAGGTTTTCATTTCCTTGTTGCTGTATATAAAGAATTTTTTGTCAGATTTTTACAATTCACTTAAAAGACATTCAGATTTTGCTGTGAACACCATAGCTGGTCAGCAGCTGTGGGGATGCAAAAGGAAAAGAACAGCATCTGGAACCATTCTCCTTTGTTTTAAGATCTGAGGAAGTCCTAGTTAAATGACACAATTTCTGTTTGATAAAAATCTCTGCCCATCTGCACTCACAGGCATTAATTCAAATCCAGTACTGACAATAATAATGATAATTTTGATGAAGAGAGAACAGTCCCATGGCCTTTGTGGAGTGAATTTGGAGGATTTGTGTTTAATTTTCAGCATTTCTATCTGCATGTCTTTGGACAGCCACTGAAATCAGTGGGATTCTTTCCAGCAGCTTCACTGGTCATTGGCTGTGGCCCTAAACAGCCTCTTACAACAGAGGAAAATTAACATAGTTGTTGGCAACTCGTCAACTGATGACTGAATGTGTGCACTGAAATCCCCTTCCACCTTTCCAGACCAAAAATTGGGAAAGGCCAGGGGTGCAGAGGAGGGAGGCAGCACTGCTGATGAGCAGACAGCCACGCTGTTCCTCCTTGCTGCCAGCCTTAGGAATCCAGAGGTATGTCAGCCACGCAGTATTTTTTAGGATGTCATGTTCTGGTTTTAATGACCTGGGTCCAGATAGCTACCTCTGAAAGAAGAGTTACCCTTTTTGTGGAACACTACATGTGTTTATTGAGGCTGACGGATTCCCTGTTCAGGGCAGACCTGGAATCCAGGAAGTTGGGACACGTTGTATTGACTGATCCTACCATGAGAGCTTTGTGCAATCAGATGGTTGGTTCTGTGCAATTTCTCGAGGTGCTGATGTTGGTCAGTTGTGCTGCAGGGACTCCTCGCTTCTCTGGCAGATGGAGGGGAATCCCGAGGTCTTTACAGAAGAGCTGCTGCAGAACACACACTGAGCCTGCTGGTAGCTCACAAGGGACAAATCTCACTCCACCAAGAAGCAGTTTTAGGCCAGCTTCTGCATAGCCTTAACACAACAGACACACCTGTAGCTCCAATCTCTCCCATGGAGAGAGATTCTTCCTTTGAAGAAAGGTGTATGCTGGATTTTCAGCTCTGGATTTTCCCAGGTTACAACTTGGGGATTTTCCTGGCCTGTTCTCATGCCCAGAGGTTGTTCCTCTGAGAGTTATTCAGCCACAGAGCAAAAAGACAAGATCTGCCTGAAGATCTTACAGTCATAATGAAAGCTAGAAGTGAAGAAATGAG